GGCAGGAGGATCATGAGTTCAAAGCCAGCCTAAGTAACTTAGTGACGCCCTAAGCAACTTAGCAAGATTCTCTTCCAAAAAATAAAAAAGGGTAAGGAAAGAGGCTCAGGGATTGGGTTGTGGTTAAGTGCCCCTGGATTAAAAAAAAAAAAAAAAAAAAAAAAAAAAAGAAGAAGAAGAAAAGAAAAGGAAGTCGTTACTAAGGTTAAATGAGACTGTGTATAAAATATATATGTAGGTACTCAAATTTCAGCACCACTTCCCTTTACTAAAATGTGTCTGGGAAATCACTTGAGATGTTAGGGGTAGGCAAGTTTGTTGGGGAAGAAGGACCTTCTGTGGTCACATAAGTTTGGGAGAAGCAGATGAATTTCTTGGTTGCAGTACCTCTTGGAGCCTTTGCTAACGTGTGTTGTAACTCTCCCAGGGACAGCTGCAATATATGGTATTACTTAGATTCCTTTGACCAAAGAAACCTTTCCAAGAGCACTTTAAGGAACATGCTGTGGTGATTACATATCTGTATTCTATACTGCCTGTAAGTTAATTGGTAACAATGAAGTTCATGCTAGGAAAACACTTTTCTCAAATGAGAAATCTCACATCCTTATACTTTCTAGAGCTAAAACATGCTCCCAGAATTATTCTAGCTCTTCAAATAGTATAAATTAGGAAGGGCAACTTAGGTGGGCAAATGGGATTTTCTTTACATCTCATAGCTGTCTTGTGGTGTTTGTCTTTCAGGTGCCAGATCGGCTAGGAATCCTTACCCACCTGTACAGGGAGTTTGACAAAAGCAGGTTTGCTGGGTTTTGCCGGAAAATTGCCGAAGGTACTGAGGTGGGGTAGGGTTTTGTCGGGCTTTGTTTCCCTCAGACCTGCCTAATTAGAGGGTGAAGTTCATATGGGGGCTAGACACCAATTTCCCTCTCACCAAGTGACCTCACTGTTTTGCCACCTCTGTCCTTGGTGATGGCAGGCAGAGGGCTTGGGGTGGAGGCAGAAGGGCTAGATAGTTGTGCTGACTGTTGTTTTGTATTGTCAGTGTTTCTCCTTGACAGCTGTCAAGGCTAGGGCAAGCTATATGCCAGTTTCTGAGAAATGTATGAAACAGTTTTCATTTAGACAAATCTATAACATTTTTTTAAATCAGTTACATCCAAAGAACTAGGGGATTAAGGAAACCTTGGGCATATTTTGTTGGGTGTCAGAAGCTCAAAATATGGCTTGCTTATTTAGATTTTGCTTTCTACTCTGTTAATTTGGATTCCATAGCCTCAGGGTACTCTTGGGCTCTTTTAGAGCCTGCTAGACTGAGCTCCTTCTCCCCAGTAACAAGGAAGGGGCTAATCAGTGGTAGACTGCTGGAAGCAGGGTGGGGCACTGACCAGATGTCAGCCAGCTTCTTAGCTGAGTTCCTGGGTCCCCAGAGCTGAGAGATTTATAGGGATAGACTCAAAATAACTCAGTGTAACTAGTAATCTGGTGGTAGGGTGCTTTGGGGCAGAGGGCTGTCCTTCCCAGTGCCTGGTAAAGCATTCCCTATAGGGTACCCTTCAAAGGTGCAGCGGGAAGTGGAGAGTGCTGCCATGAGACTTGCTTGCCCCTGTGCCAGTGGTGGGGCATCTGTCCTAATTCAGACTTCAGCCAGCTAGAGGTGCTGCCCTGTGATGGGGAGAGTAACCGGGACAAGCTGTCCCTAGGTGTTCACCAACCCCCTTTTCCCGTCTCCTATCCCAGGTGCCGAGCAGGGAGACCCCCTTTCTCGCTACATCTTCAGGAAGGCTGGGGAAATGCTGGGCAGACACATCGTAGCAGTGCTGCCCGAGATTGACCCGGTGAGTGGAGGTGCTGCTTCCCTTTTGGTGATGGAACTGCCCCATCAAACCCTGCATCAATTAGAAACTATTTTAGATGAAGTTATGAGGTGAGAAAAATTTTGCTTATAACATAAGAAAATCCTATGGTCAAGTGCTTCCCTCTGTAACTGGTGTGTTACTACCTGTATTTACATGTAGTAAATGGGTTTAATGTCTGTCTATCCCCTTTCTATCCATTCCCCTTCCTTTTCTCTTTCCTATTTCTGTAGTTGCTTGCCCCTTTTCTCTTCCCTCCCCTGCCTGCTCTTCCTGTTTCTCTTTCCTTGAGTTCACCTTATTCTGTTATTGACTAGAGGGAAAGTCTGGGATTTGGGGTTGGTCTTAGGAAACTACCCAGCAGCTCCAGAGATACTTGTTCAGTCCACAGCATCCATTTTTGGCCCTCTACCCAGGTCTTGTTCCAAGGGAAGATTGGCCTCCCCATCCTGTGTGTGGGCTCTGTGTGGAAGAGCTGGGAGCTACTGAAGGAAGGTAAGTCTCGGGGCAAGGGGAGGGGAAGGGCAAAGGCAGAGAATGGGTCTGGAGTGGAAGTCCAAGGAAGCTGCCTGTTTTAGGAAAAACTGATACCTGTGCCCTGAGGCCAAGACAGGCCACTGATGCCTCAGGTTAAGGCCCTCAGCCTTCATTTTGCCTCTGTCCCATCCGACTTCCACAAACTAACTATATATTTATCTTTTTTTATTTTTTTGGTGCTGGGGATCGAACTCAGGGCCTTGTGAATGCAAGGCAAGCACTCTACCAATTGAACTATATCCCCAGCCCTAACTATATATTTATGCTGGGGATTAAACTTCGGGCCTCAGACTTGCTGTGCATGTGCTTTACCACTGAGCTGCAGTCCCAGTTCCTTGAGGTCCTGAAAACGTGTTATATTCCAATGATTTATTAAATAACCTCTTTTTAAAAGTTAAAGTGAAAACTCAGAATCAGAGCTCCAGCATATGATAAACGGTGGTAACATCCCTAATCAGCAAATCCTGGCCAGAAGAAAGAAACGTGACTTCTTTCCAGGCAGCCTCCTTTCAGGAAGTTGCTCAGCTCCCTTTAGACATTCTGCAGGGCTCAAGGGCCCCTATTGGAGTTCCCAGCATTGGAGCTGAGAGGAGGGCAGGCCTTTGAGGCTGCTGGCTGCATGTGCCCTGGGATCCACTGTGTCCTGGGGACTTGGCCTGTTGGCCCCTTCAGCATCTTCACAGAAAGACCTTAGCATCTTTGTCCCCTTCCCCTCCTCCTGGTCTCTTCTCATTTCTGTCCTTGCATTCTTCCTTGCAGGTTTCCTTTTGGCGCTGACCCAGGGTAGAGAGATCCAGGCTCAGAACTCCTTCTCCAGCTTCACCTTGATGAAGCTGAGGCACTCCTCCGCCCTGGGTGGGGCCAGCCTAGGGGCCAGGCACATTGGGCATCTCCTCCCCATGGACTACAACGTCAATGCCATTGCCTTCTACTCCTACACCTTCTCCTAGGGGACTGGTCCTAGCTCCTCCCATTCTAAGCCTAGTGGACATTGGGTGCTAGAAAGGAGGTCTTTTCTTTTTTAAAAACACATATAGAAGAAAATAAATGCACTCTGCCCATTCCCCAATTGGATTGTGTGTTCAAGCACCCTTGCTGTTATATCCTCAGTGCACCACTAGCAGGTGTCCCAGAGGGCTTAGGAATGGTTTTGTCCATAGTTGAAAGCCCCACCTCCAGGGACTTGGTCTGTGATCTGCATCCGTTCACCATGTTCTTGGACAGATAATTTATCTGTGCCACCTCAAACACATCCCCCTTGCCTTACCATACACATTAACCTGTGACTTAAGTTTTCTCCTGTCAAAAGTAGGTAATGATTCCTGCCTAACCCCTATTGGAACTAAGTAATCTTCCCCTGAAGTAACCACAGGCATATTACACCCTCTCCTGAGATTCTCAGTAGGATTTAGGGACAATACAATTCTAGTTCAAAAAATTTTTTACCTCACTGGATTTGGTAGTTGTAAGTAAGCAGTGCATTTTTCAGTTTCTTGTGTGAATGAATTCTTGAGTTTATGAAGATTGCTGAGGTCCAAGAAGGCCAACTAGGGATAGCCTATCTGGATGGCCTACCTGCCTGTTCCTGTTACTAGCCTGGCTCTAGTTATGGCATGACATTTTGTTATGTGGCCCTGGGAATAACGAGCATCCGAGAAGAGCAGACATGGTTCCTGTCCTCTGGATTCTGTAGTTGGACTAGTGAAGACAAGCCTAAAGCTTCCTGTGCTGCTGCCTGTGCTACAGTCTTGATCCACAGTGGCTGCCTCTACAAGTGTCCAGAGTGTACACTATTAGAAGACATCGATCACCTCCTGGATATCAGTTCTCAAACTTACATGCCTCAATTCTAGAGTTTATTTTAAAATCAGGTTTCAGTCTTTTTCCCTCCTCCTACCTACCCCCTACCTCAAGAGGTCTGACTCAATAGGTCAGAGATGAGTGGAGTGGGTGAGGAATTTTTTTTTTTTTTAATAGTCTCATTATGTTGCCCAGAGTGACCTCAACCAAGATCTCAAGCATTCCTCCTTCCTCAGCCTCTCAAGGAGCTGGTCATATACCACCATGCCAACCTAGGAATTTTCATTCCTACTCAATTGTCTGGGTGGTTTTTGCCAGAGGTCCAGCATCTGTACTTGCTTATTGCTTCTGAGTTCCAGTTACACTCTCAGGGGTTCTTAAATCTTACCTGTCATTCATGTGGAACAGAATGGCCACAGCTCTCTTCTCTTGCCCAATGTAGCAAGCTGGTGCTTTGAGCAATAAGAACTCAAGCCAAGTCCCTTCAAGGGACAGAGCACTTCACATCCAACTGTCACCCAATTCTTTGGGTCCAGCACTTGGTAAATTGCTAGTACCTCACCTTGTAAAAAGTCTGCAGAGAACAAGGATATAACAGAAGTATCTTTGCTATATCCCACAGTCCTAATAATAGCTGAGTTATTGAGTGGTGAGCTTGATTGTATTATTATTTTAGTAGTAGGGACTGAATCCAGAACCTCACGTGTTAGGCTCACTGAGTTGTATCCACAGCCCTTTTTACTTTTTTTTGTTGTTGTTTTGAAGACAGGGTCTTGCTAAATTATTCAGGGCCTCATTAAATTGCTGAAGGCTAACCTTAAATTTGGAATTCTCCTGTCTCAGCCTCCTGAATTGTTGCAATTACAGGCATGAGCCACCATGCCCAGATTTTTTTTTTTTGGTACCCAGGGACACTTTACCACTGGGCCACATCCCCAGCTCTTTTTTTTTTGAGACAGGGTCTCAGTAAGTTTTTTTTAGGACCTCAGTAAATTGCTGGGCTGGCCTCAAACTTGTGATCTTACTTCCTGAGTTTCTGGATTAAGGACATGTGCCACTCACCTGGCTTGGTTTTTTTTGTTTTGTTTTAATGTGTTCTTAGGATTAGGTTCAAGCAGTGTTTTGGTAAAACGTTTATAAATAATGAGACCTACTTATGTTCTTCAAATATGACCATCACTCTATTTGTGTAGACTCTATATAACTCCAGTTGAACAGTGGAGGTTTTAGAAAGGAATAGCAGCATATCTTGACTTTCTTAGTCCAAGAACATGATTATTGAGTAAATGTTAGTTGAAAAAATGAAGCCAGATACACTGGTGTCCACCTGTAATCCCTGCAATTCCTATTAAGAGAGGAGAATTGAAAATTGGAGACCAACCTCGGCAACTTTGCAAGACTCTGTCTCAAAGTGGAAAGGGCTGGGGATGAAGCCAGTGGTAGAGTGCCCTGCATTCAATTCTCAGTATTATACAAAAAACAAATGAAAATCTCTCCCATCCCCCAAGTACTGGGGATTGAACCAAGGGCCTCAAACATGCCCAACAAGTGATTTACCACTGAACTATATCTCCAATCTCTCCACCCCATGAAGATAATCTTAAAGTACCTAAGGTCAGATATGCTCCTAGATTCTATCACATTTAGTAGATGTGATAAGGTTTCAAGCAGGGTGTGGTCACATACCTATAATCCCCTTGGGAGGCTGAGGCAGGAGGTCACAAGTTTGAAGACTCAAAAAATAAAGAGCCGAGGATGTGGCTTAGTGGTATAGTATGTTTATCTAGTATGACAAACAACAAAACTACACAAATGTGATGAGGTTGTTTATTCTCATTAGTAAGACACTATTACACTAGTTGCGGTACAGGAGCTTATTTTTGTGTGAGAGTTTCCTCCCCTTTAAACATATGCTTCCAACAAGATACCAGGAGCAATTAATGGGATTTTGCACTACCAAGGCATCCAAGCCTATAACAGCCTCATGACAAGGCAAGAAAGCAATGAGCACTGGACTTAAATAAGGCTGGTACTGCCTTCATCTGTCTGATGTTAGCACAGCTCATCATCCAGACCAGTCAGCTAACACTCATGTCTTCCAGGTGTGATGAAGTGCTCTAGGTGCTAAAAATGACTCGGCCATTTTTTAGTTAGCAAAATTCAGAGCTGTACATGTAAAATATATCCACACTTTAGTACACTACACTTACAATTAAGTTTAGTGCAATTTAAAAAATGAATATACCATCCACATCTTCAAGGATGTTACAATCTAATATATCAGCCCTATACTTATAACTTAGAAACTAAGTTATAAATAGGCAAGTCAACTCAGATTTTCTCCCTAGCTTTGGCAAGAAATCAGGGCTCAAAGCAAAACCCATGGGCTCATAATCTTTTTAGCACCTAAAATCCTTGAAAGAAAAAAGTACAAAACACCAATCATCTCAATAGTCGTCCCCACTAACCCTGTAGCCCCAGTGCCTAAGATGAAGCTTTGAATGTAGTAGGCGCTCAAATTTGTTTAGTAGTTGAAAGACAGATAACAGAATCTTTTCACTTTTTTTAAGGTAGGAGTTACCTTTGGCTCAAATAGAAGTCAACTCTTCAGTTTCCTTTCTAGCCCAAGAAGTCCCTTTCACCACCTCTGTTCAAAGTGTACTTACTGCCACTACTGGCTGAGATGTATTAAGAGATTTCACTCACTCACTTTCTTTTCTTGGTATCAGGGATTGAACCCAGGGGTGCTTAACCACTGAGACACATCCCCAGACCTTTTTCTATTTTGTTGGAGACAGGGTCTTTCTAAGTTGCTTAGGGTTTTGCTAAATTACTGAGGCTGGCTTTGAATTTGTGGTCCTCCTGCCTCAGCCTCCCAAGCTCCTGGGATTATAGATCCACACCCAACAATATTAAGAGCTTTCAATGTGCTAGTCAATATTATAAAATTCTAATTTTCAAAATAGACTCAGGGTAGGTGTCATACCTTTACCAATGAACAGGTTCAGGCCTAAGGGCACTAAGAAAGTGGTGAAGGTGGGGCTTCACTCAGGTCTGATTCCAAGCCCATGCTTTTATTGTTTTGTAATGTCATTTGGAAGGAATATTATTCAATTGAAACTGATATGTCTTTAGACATTAAAAAAATATAACTCACATACCACACACACATACCCCTACATTATGATGATACGTAGTGAACCATCCCTAGGAAAAAAAGTACCAAGGCCAGCAAATGCACTTTATTCTCATTTATTGAAATTTTCAACAGCTGCCATTTGGTGTGTATAGCAAACTTTTAAAAGTGACTTCTATTTTTTATATTTTTATGAAAATTATTTTCTTCAATTTTAAAGCACTATCCCTCCTCCAAAGTAGTATTAATAACTGCCATGTAAAGTTTATTTAGAAGGGGGGAAGCAACAATAGCTTTTAAACATTTATGAAACAGCGACAAAGTTCCAAAATCTCAACCTGGGCCAGCCGGGGGTGCTATGCTGTCCCCAGTACCATCAGTACTTTACTTGCCATCCATAGCAACAGGGGTGCCACACACACACCCTCTGACCTTCTGGGGCTTCTTGTTCCACAAGCTCCACACTCTCTACTTCTGCCATCAGCCCTCCCTCTCTCCCTCCCTCCTAATGTGTCCAACAAAGGCAGTACAACTTTTAATACACGTTCAGCTTTGTAACTGGAGACATGCTACTTATTTAGGAAGTTCACAGATTCCCCCATCCATTCTGGAGGAGGAAAAACATCCAGCACAGCATAGATGGTTTCACTTTCTTCTCCACTGAGACACATGCTCATACTTATTAAATGGATTTATTAGATGCTTCAAAAGTCCCGATGTGTAGTAGACAGCACAAAAGTTTCTTATAAAAAAATGTTGCAAAATTATAAAAATTTCTGCAGCACTCAAGGCTCCTTCTGTGGAGCTTCTTAGTGACAAAGCTGGTTCTGAAAAGTAATTCCTTTGACACGCACAGTAGCTTCACCTATGAGTCCTATATATCTATGTTCAAAGAGTTCCATTTAGACCACAGGAATCTGAAATCCAAGTGCGTCAGGCTGTCTGGCTAACAAAATGTACATACCCATCAATGGGATACTACTCAGTAGTAAAAAGAACAAGCCACCAAAACATGTTCTATGTAGTAGATGAGCCTCACAAACATTATGTTAAGTGAAAAAAGGCCTGATACCAGACACCACGTGCACGACTCCATTGATGTGAAATGTCAAGAAAAGGCAAATTTATACATGGAAGTGGTTGCCTGGAGTAGGAACAAGGACTAACGAACATGAAGATCTTACTGGGAGTGATGAAAATGTTCCAGAACCAAGTAATGGTTATGGCTGCACCACTGAAGAAAGTTATTAAAACCACTGACTTGTACAACATTTGAAATGGGTGAATTTTATGATATGTAAAATATGCATCATTAAAGTTGTTTTTTAAAAAAAGACTCCCTACCTCCCAACTACCCTTCAAGCATTAAACAATTTTGAAGAGCTCACAATCAAAAGAACAGGATTATCACTTAGTGTTGATTTACACAGTAAAACATTTTACTATTTTATAGAAAAAAATATTTTAGTAATTGTAAAATAGTAAAATGTTTTTAAATTTTATTATCTCAGGGCTGGGGGATGTAGCTCAATAGTATGTGTTTGCCCAACAATGAGGAAGGCCCTGAATTTGAGCCCCAGCAATATAAAACAGAAAAAAAAA